TACACAAAACAACACTTTAAAATACACAACAGTCACAGTTTCCATGGGGCTAGATATTTCGAGAGCCCCCCGGCCTGCTGGAGCAGCCAGGACTTAATTAACGGCTTTGCGGAAGGCTGGGAGGGTAGTAAGGGTCCTGATCTCCATGGGGAGGTCGTTCCAAAGGGCTGGAGCTGCGACAGAGAAGGCTCTCCCCTGGGGAGTCGCCAGCCGACATTGGCTGGCAGATGGAATCCGGGGGAGACCTACCCTGTGCGATCTAATTGGTCTGAGAGAGGTAATCGGCAGGAGGCGGTCTCTCAGGTACCCGGGTCCGATGCCATGTAGGGCTTTATAGGTGACGACCAGCACCTCTCTCACAGCAACCTGTCAAGCATACACAGTGGAGTCACAAAATATATCAGAACAACAACCTTCTCTGCTTTTGTTCCTTTGCAACTGTTATTCTTCCGTTTCTAAATATATCATAAAACCCTTGTATCTGTAGTAAGCTTGGCAAGCTTGTTCTTCATAGATTTTTCTGTGTTTCTTTTCTGTACACCTAAGGTTTAAGCTAGGTTTATGATCATCGTTACATTTAGTTTAATTACATGCTATGGGTTTCTGGTATTGTGAGAGATTGAGAAATACATTTCTCTATTTGCTTTCTTCATCCGTCCTTCCACATTTTCCACATTCTAAATTTCCACCTTTTTCTAAACTAATCCTGACACTTGTTACTTTGCGATGGGAGAGTTGTTTTAATTCTCTGATTATTCTGGATGGATTTTCTGTACCTTGGTATCACTTTTTTGGGACGTTGTAGAGCATATAAAACTATGCACGGTATTCTAAATATATTCCAAATTCCTAAATTTGTATAAAGCCATTACGATACTGTAAATTAGGTTTCTTTCCATTTACTAATGATCTCTGTTCAGAAATGGACATTTTGCTTTTTCAGATATTGAATTGTTGATTTATTAAGCTGTCAACTTCCAACTCAAGATCCCTTCTGCATGTATAGGTAGTCCTCAATCTACGACCATTTTCTTGATTTTTCGACTGCAGTGACTTACAATTGAAATCCTGGGCTTTACTGTGGTTTTGAGGCCTACCTGTAATGGCAAATTATTTCAAAATGTTTTATTCCACATTAATATAAATTGTAGAAGTATGTTAAAATAATGGAAAAACTCAGATTTGTGAAGTCTGTGATATGTGTTATGAGTTGCTCCTGTCTTGCTTTTGATGTTGTATTACAGCTGAGGGGAACAATCATGAAAAGACACTGGTTTTTGTAATCCTATCTGTATACAATCCTAGTTTGTGTATGTCTGTGTGTTGTGTGTGTGTGTATGTTTGTATGTATGTATGTATGTATGTATTTATTTATTTATTTAAAGTCACAACCCCCGGTATGCCCAAATATGGGAGGAAGATCACTGGGCATACTGGGGGTTGTGACTTTAAATAAATAAATAAATACATACATACATACAAACATACACACACACACAACACACAGACATACACAAACTAGGATTGTA